CTAAGTAGTGTTCCATGGAGAGATTCATTCAGTCAGCCCCTTTTGGATGTTCCTCCAGCTTTCCAATGGCATGGACAGGGAACAGAAATACATTTTTCTGTATATACTGGCAAAAAAGAGCCATGTTATACCACAACCGTATCAATAGCACAACTGAGCCCTATGTTAGGAAATTTTTTGGATAACCATCTTATAACCTACTAGCTTCCTACTTGGTCTGTTAGAGACTGCATCTATGCGGAGCACATTCAGAAATTCTCCAAGGGCTGGTCTAGAGTCAGTGCAATTCACTGGCCTTAGCAATAGTGAGAACACTAATATAAACTGGGCTATGGGATTTTTAACCACTGTTATTTAACCTGTTCAGAGCAGAACTAGACAACTGTTAAAAACACCTGAGCTTGGTTTACGCTACTGCTCCCACCATGGCAAGCACTGGTATTTGGCCAATTCTGGGAGAATTTCCGAAAATGACAAGGGGAAACAAGTGTTAATTATTTTATTGCTATTCATAAGCCCAATACAGTGATTTGAAACAACACTTACAACTTTGTAACGAGCTGTGTTTAAGATGTGGCTCTCGAGAGGTGCTAACATGGTTTCAGATCTCCATATAACCCGAGACTTTAGCCATTGCATGTTCTACTCCACCTGATGAAATGTACTTGTGCCCTCAGGGAAATGCTTCTCCATACTAGTCTGTTTTCAGAGCAGTTCTTTGGGCCCAACCAATAGATTCCTGTCTGTTTGGTATCACCAATGTTATTGCACTTGTACTTTAAAGCCTCAGATCATTTCAAGAATTCCCCATACCCCTTGGCCTTCTGGGTGCTTCAGTATGTATCTGCCTCAGCTGCACACAAAGAACTTCCATAACATCAAAAAAATAAAGAATGCCACAGCTGGATGCAGCAGCCCAGCCAGAACAACCCAGGCATGGTTGTTCCTCTGAATTCTCTGACCTGGACCAATTTTTCTTTGTGATGCAGGTGGTAGCGTTCTCAAGGTAGCTTATTTTTTGAAGTCTTTACATCTCATGGAGAAAAATGACCACTGTAGGCTTTGTTACTCGAAGTATTGCTTCTGAAGAGCATATGGCTCTGCGAAGAGGCGAGTGACATTTGATCATCACTCAGATCAGAAGGGGAAAGAGAGGAAACAACTTTCAAAGGCAAGGATGACAGCATTACAAACAAAAGTAGAGACGACCTTCACATGCAGCTCTCTCTCTCTCCGCTGCCAAGAGTCATCCTTTCCGCTACTGTCATCTTAATCTTCAGTACACCCGGGGCAGTGCAGACTGATGTCAGCCCCTGCGGCAGGGAAATCCACAGGCTTTCACTGAATGGGGGAAAGGGTGCAGTGTACGTCCTGCAGCAGACACATTGGAGGCCAATATTAACCGCTAAGGACAGAGTGTACAGATGGGTCAGCTGTGCAGAGGACTGGCTTCCCACAAAGCTGAGGCAAGTGCAAGTTCATGCACTTGTCCAAAGGGGCTGGCTTGGTCAGCCTATCTGAAAGGGGAGGTGAAGCACAGCTGGCACTTTCTGAAAGAGGAGAAGCAGATGTGTCCCCTTCACTTAGTAAAAGCCAATGCGGATCAACCAGTCTGGTAGAGTTGCAGAGTTTGGCTCTGGTGCTCAGGATGGGTTCCAGAAACAACTTCAACACCACTCTGCTCGAACAGGCCAGGAAATGCAGTCACAGATCCTGGAGAGAGGGAGTGGTGCCTGGCCTTAGTATATCAGAAGGATACAATCAGCACACCAAGAAGTCCAAACCAAGCACAGGGGCTTAATCCTTCCTCTAACTCTGTTTGCAGTTCCCCCTCTCCTACAAGCTCTGCAGTAGGAGCCTAACCTACCCCAAGTACATGGATTCAACCCCTCCCCAAGCTCTGCGGCGGAATCACCCCAAACCCAAGCCCTGCAGCAGGACTATTGCTCGTTCACCTGCACATCCACCAATGTGATATATGCCATCATGTGCCAGCAATGCCCCTCTGCCATTTACATTGGTCAAACTGGACAGTCTCTACGTAAAAGAATAAATGGACACAAATCAGATGTCAAGAATTATAACATTCATAAACCAGTCGGAGAACACTTCAATCTCTCTGGTCACGCCATCACAGACATGAAGGTCGCTATCTTACAACAAAAAAACGTCAAATCCAGACTCCAGCGAGAAACTGCTGAATTGGAATTCATTTGCAAATTGGATACTATTAATTTAGGCTTAAATAGAGACTGGGAGTGGCTAAGTCATTATGCAAGGTAGCCTATTTCCCCTTGTTTTTTCCTACCCCCCCCCCCAGACGTTCTGGTTAAACTTGGATTTAAACTTGGAGAGTGGTCAGTTTGGATGAGCTATTGCCAGCAGGAGAGCGAGTTTGTGTGTGTGTGTGAGTGTGTGTGTGTTTCGGGGGCGTGTGGAGTGAGAAAGCCTGGATTTGTGCTGGAAATGGCCCACCTTGATTACCATGCACATTGTAGGGAGAGTGGTCACTTTAGATGAGCTATTACCAGCAGGAGAGTGAGTTTGTGTGTGTATGGGGGTGGGGGGGGGTGAGAAAACCTGGATTTGTGCTGGAAATGGCCCACCTTGATTATCATGCACATTGTAGGGAGAGTGGTCACTTTGGATAAGCTATTACCGGCAGGAGAGTGAGTTTGTGTGTGTGGTTTTTGGAGGGGGGTGAGGGGGTGAGAGAACCTGGATTTGTGCAGGAAATGGCCCACCTTGATTATCATACACATTGTGAAGAGAGAAAAGGAGTACTTGTGGCACCTTAGAGACTAACCAATTTATTTGAGCATGAGCTTTCGTGAGCTACAGCTCACTTCATCAGATGAAGTGAGCTGTAGCTCACGAAAGCTCATGCTCAAATAAATTGGTTAGTCTCTAAGGTGCCACAAGTACTCCTTTTCTTTTTGCGAATACAGACTAACACGGCTGTTCCTCTGAAACCTGTCATTGTGAAGAGAGTGGTCACTCTGGGTGGGCTATTACCAGCAGGAGAGTGAGTTTGTGTGGGGGGGGGCGGAGGGTGAGAAAACCTGGATTTGTGCTGGAAATGGCCCAACTTGATGATCACTTTAGATAAGCTATTACCAGCAGGACAGTGGGGTGGGAGGAGGTATTGTTTCATGGTCTCTGTGTGTATATAATGTCTTCTGCAGTTTCCACGGTATGCATCCGATGAAGTGAGCTGTAGCTCACGAAAGCTCATGCTCAAATAAATTGGTTAGTCTCTAAGGTGCTACAAGTACTCCTTTTCTTTATTTACTGTATAAACCCACTTTCCTTTTAAGAATCTTCTTTTCTAATAAATCTAGTATTCATTGATTCCTTTGCAATAAGTAACCACTGAGGTACCACCAGGGCCATTAAACATCATTATCTGGGACAGACATCCCCTAATGGCCTGACAGGGGAATCAATCAGGCTAAATCATGAATTTCCCCTACACCTTACCAAACACGTCTGTCAAGGAAAGAAAACCTTTGGGCCAAGATTTAATGATCACCCTCCCTATTCTGGAGGCAGCTGGCTAGGGACAGACCAACGGCAGGCCAGCCAGGTGCCAGGTTGTCTCAGAGACGGGAGGCTTGACTGATGCAACAGCAGGAAGAGAGGAGACTGGGTGATAGGAAATGGGCCAGTGAGATGAGAAGGGATTATATTTTTTGCTACCTTTAATACCCCTTTAATGAGATAACCCCTCCTTCTGGGGAGCATGGGGCTTTCAAACCTTTCATGTGCTCAGGCAACAAAGGAGAGACACTGACATTTGAGATTTTCACACCATACGGGGTCAGTGTTCGTTATTTCAAACCGCTCAACATTTGAGGTTCTGCAGCTTAATCTCTCATCCACCCTGGGAGCTTCATTTCCCTAAGCAACACCACAGATAAACTTCAGCTCAGATATTCTCATCCAGCTCCCCTTGAGTACTGCTGGGGGTTTCAGATCAGGATTACAGGCCTTTGAACTTGGCTATCCAAAACTGGCCTTTACTGCGTACAGAGTGATACTGAACAGGTGAAAAAGTCCCAGAGGCTGAACTAGGGAAAGTTCTTTTTCCTTCCTGACATGGGCTGATGATAGCTATCAGTTATCGAATCTGGGTCTGGAGTAGACTGAGATAAACAATCAGAATTATAAGCCTGGGCAAAACAGTGTGCAAATATGCAAACTCTTCCTGAAATATATGCACATGGCCCAGATTCACTGCCATTAAGTCCTTGGATGACTGACAAGATTCAGGGTGGGTTCTCCACTAAATGCATCAGTGCTTCAAAGAGAAAACTAAAGTAGTCACCTCCTGCCACAATGAACTCTATCCTGATGGAATGGATTGATCCCACTTATTTCCAAGACCTGGATCCTGAAGAAATTGACCCAATGTTCAGGAGAGTCCATTGGGAGAACTGCCACACAATCCAATAGCCTTATCAAAGAGAAACATCTCTAAAATGCCCATCCTCCCCTGCCTTGACACTGAAAAATCCAAGTGTTGGTGTTTCAGTTGCGAGATGGCCAGACTGTCAACATGTATAGTACTCTGATCACAAGAAGCGGAATTTCCACACACCCCTCCAAAAAAAAAAAAAAAAAAAAGCTTCACTTTTTAGTGAGATACCATAAAAGACACACAAGGGGCTTAGGGAAGAAGGCAGAGTGCCGACTGAAAACAGCTTGTGTTAGTTAAGAAGTTTCTGAGGCAGCCTACGGTGCACCAATGGCAAGCCACTTGGGATTCAGCACCATTTTAGCAAGTGTTCACTTATAAAACTCGTGTCTAAAATGAAGGTGACCCTGGCTTGAAAAAAAAAATCAAAAATATCTACGGTTGACTCAGGTCTTTGAGAGGGCATGATGTGCAGGCCATGACAGAGTTAGTCCAACGTCTATATACAATACCCGTGATTCAGTTTCCATCAGTAGGGATAGAGGTGGAGGCTTTCTAAAACTGAAGAAGTTCATGGACTCACCTATCCATCGCATCAGGGATGTCATGATCTGCAGATATTTGGTCTTCTGGACATTAAAAAAGGTAAAAGGACCCAGTAGTAGAGTAAATGCTGCCTGGAAAGATAAACAAACAAACAGGAATCAGGCTAAAAATCAGAATTTTGCTAATAAGGCCAAAAAACAGTGAAATAAACTTCTTCTGGAAAGATCAGCTCAGAAACAACTTCTGTTTGGTACCAAGATTTCTTCACTAGTTTTAAAGCTGGATTGGCTGAGACACAAGGAAGGGAAAAACTAATTGCTTGATGTCAGATTATATGCCTCAGGCAGACCGAGCTCAGGATCCTCTTAGCTTCTTGATGTTTGCTATCACCTGTACAGTACACAGTTACTGACAAATTTTAGTACAAGCTATCAGTGTAACTTTACAGAACATTAAATATTAAACCTCTTTGTCTGGGTATATTCTCAATTTAGGTCTTGGTATCTGTAGCTGTGACCAGTCTGGTTGAATTAACATTGATGGGCCTGCCTTGAGGTGTGTAGCCTGAAAAACAGTGGAACCTGCCACGTGACAAGGGTGAACCAGCTCCAGCTAAACTAATCCTTGATGTGCTACATTTTCACTTTTACAATGAAGCATTAACAGAAAGTAACATGTGCAAACCACACCCATGAACTGAAAACTCTGAAGATAAAGAGCCTCCCAGTGCCTTTGCTGTTAAGAAACACTCCATGCAGAGTCCATGCAAAGCTACCATCAGCAAGTGCCCTTATTAGGCATCCTGCAATTTTAAATCACAGCTACCAGACAGACCGCAGAGGGGTCACTAAAAGGTGGACATTGCAGGTCACTAACCTGGTGGACATTGCAGTACTAGGATCCACTGAATATCTGACAGCTTCCCATCGCACACTCCTAGTCACTTGGCAGAAAGCAGGACTAATTGAGAAGCCTTACATTTCCTTAGACATCACACATCCCCCTACAGCTCCTCCCCAGTGCAACAGAGAGACTAAACAAGTGACTGAGCCGTGACCTCTTATCCAATCTCAGGTTTCAGAGTAGTAGCCGTGTTAGTCTGTATTCGCAAAGAGAAAAGGAGTACTTGTGGCACCTTAGAGACTAACCAATTTATTTGAGCATAAGCTTTCGTGAGCTACAGAAAGCTCATGCTCAAATAAATTGGTTAGTCTCTAAGGTGCCACAAGGACTCCTTTTCTCTTTTTATCCAACCTCAGTGGCGGCGGCGGCGGCGGGGGCGGCGGGGGGGGGGGGGGAGGGAGGAGGAGAGGTGCCGCTTACCTAACAGACTAATTAGCCAAATCAGATAACAAGCACTTTAAGAACACACACAGAATGTCAAGGGCTTGAAAGAGTTCTGAGCACCCACTGAGCGAAGCTAATGTGGTATCCAGAGGGGTTGCTTCTACTGAGAAGGTTGGCCGAAGGAGGAAGGGAGTGATACAGGAAGAGAGCTTTGCCCACCCTTTGTTTTTGTGGGGCGTGAGAGTGTGACAATCAATCAAGGACTGACTCAGACTCTCATCAGTAACACGTGCAAGCAGTAGTCTACAGGACAAAGGCCCAGAAGACACCAGCACACATTGTGTCCATTTGCATGGCAACTAGTAAGATTTTTTTAAAATAAACAGAGCAATAAATACTTAACATTTACATAGCTCTTTTCATCCACACATCTCCAAGCACTTTACAAAGGAAGGTAGCACTCCACTTTACAGATGGGGAAAGCTGAGTCACAAAGAGGCTATATGACTTATCCAAAGTCCCACAATGAACCCATGGAGGAGCTGGGACAGAACCCAAGTTATTTAAAGACCCGCACAACTCCAGGAAACTTTTCTAAACCCGTTCCAGAAAATATGTAATGCAACTCGAATGATTTCACAACACAAATATTGCCAGGTGGCCAAAATAAACCCAGGGTGGGGACTGGAAGTCAGGACTTTTGGGTTTTATTCCCAGCTCAGTCAATGATTTGCTGCAACACCTGGGCAAGCCACTTACCCTCTCTGCACCTTGGTCTCCCTGTTTGCAAAATAGGAATGCCGTCGGGTGTGTGGGTGAGGATTAAGGTTTAAGAAATGCTTCAAGATCCTTTGGATGAGATCACCCAGGAAGCACAAAAGATATTTCAAATATAATTGACAAGTCTTAGACAGCAAAAAGAAATATCAAGGACTTTTCAGTTCTAATACAATTGAATTAAAAGGGTTATAGAAATTAGATTTTTTTCCTCTGCGCTTTTCCTTCGATCTCCTTTTTGTGTTATGCTCCCTGAATTCCCTCCATCCCCACCCAACCCGCAGCCTCCTTTCTACTGACTGCCATTCAATCCCAAAGCAGAATGCAACCTCCAAGGGTCAGAAAGGTGGGGATATCATCATCATTAAGGATACAGAGACAGCCCAATGCACATGAGGAGAATGCAGGTGAAAGACCTGGACCAGCACCAACAAAGCAGAAGCCAAATCTACCACCACCGACATTAAAGATCCATGCCCAACTAGCCTCTCTTAGAAACACACACTCAAACTGTTAACATAATCCCCCTTCAAAAGGGATGATTAGCTCATGCATTACTAATAGTTGAAACAAAGCGACAGACGAGGGATGGTGATAATTAAGGAACAGGTGTCTTGTGCAAATTAGAGCACACCAGAACCAACTGGCAGAACAGCACCTTAATCCAATGCATGGACAGACAAAGGGCCCTTAGGTAGCAAAGAGGCAGGGTTTGAAGTCTGTATCGGTCTCTGAGCTCAACTGCAGCTTTAGTGCTTAAGTAGAGGATGCAGGGCCTCATTGGTGTGTCCATCTCTAGACACACTTGTAAACTGAACCTGGAGAGGAAGCAGGGAACTGAATTTTGTAACAGTTGTGGGTAAAAATATAAGAAGTCCTTTTGGGGTTTTCCCCTCTAACTTCTGTATGGTTATAAATTCTCCAGCTCCCAAGCAATCTTTATCTACTAAACCCATTGACAGGTTCCAGAGTAGCTGCCGTGTTAGTCTGTATCTGCAAAAATAAATAAATAAATGTTAGTCTCTAAGTTGCCACAAGTACACCTTTTCTTTAAACCCATTGATCAACTTCAGAGAATAGCTTCAAACTCTCCCTCTTTCTCAAGGACTCTACTCCTCAATTTATTAGGAGTGAGATGAACACAAATCATCATGCCTGAAGGTATGGATTTCCCCCCACCCTTTTATAACAAACTATCTATTGTTCATCATAAAAGCTTGGTTTCAAGGAATGAGGTGCGAGATGAGTTCAAGAGCAGTCTAAATATTACATTACCTTCCCCATCCAACTCCCATCAATGAATCACACTGGGCTTCCAAGGATCAGTAAGAACAATGCAATGGCTTTGACGGAGATGAATCAGGTTGCGCAGATTTGAGAGCAGACCCGGTTTATAAATCAAACAGTGCTACATGCTGAATTCTCTTTAAATGAGAAGTAGACAGTAGTGGATGGGATTAAATAGCAAAAATCAACCCCCCAGAACCCCGCAAGTTCCGTGAGATTTGAAACAGGACAGGTAATGGCCACCAGTTCCAAACCAGAAGCTCTTCCATTTAGCTCGTAAAGGAGGATCAAGAGATCAGTTTTAGTCCAGTAACTGGGCCCATCCTGACTAGTTCAGAATTGGAGAGCTGAAGAGACAGACCAGTCTTTTCAAAGATGTTTCAGATACAAGGCCTTGCAGCTGATTGGAAAGGTGTGTGTAGGAGAGGAGGAGATAAATATGAATACATAAGCCAAGATTTTCAAAACTGGGTGTTCAAAAATAAACATGCCGCACTGCCCCATCCCACCCCACAAAATAAAGATTTAAGTACCTAATAAGTAGGCTGTGGTGTTTCTCTCGGGGACGGGAGAAGTCAGCCATATTTTCATTCCAAGGATTTTTCAAATCATTGTGTCTTCATCACAAGCTGCCAAGTTCACACTGATCCAGCTTCTCCTCCCCAAGTAGTTAATTAACTCCATAACTGCCGTTATCCCATTACCTTCTTCCTAAAGGAAAGGTGAGCCTAGACTGGCATCTAGGACACAAGCCACCTCAACTGCCAACAACATTTTCTAGGCTCAGCTCTCTCTCTAAAGTGAGCTGTTTTACAAACCTTGACTCATTACATGCAACAGTTAACAAAGCCTAAATCTGTCCAGAAAAACGGTATCAGTTACCCTCATGGAATTCAAACGGCACTACACGTTACACACCAAGGAAGAACTCTTGCATTTTCCAGTTCAACTCCCCTGCTTTCTATCTTAGAAATATCTAAGGCCTCTATCACCTTGGCTACTAAATTTTATCAAAATAACCTGAGGCAGAAGGAACAGACAAATCTTTAACTGAAGTGGATTATTGTACTCTGGTGGTTTACAACTACAGACAACGAATGGAGGCTCGTTCAGTTCAACACGAACAAGGAAGAAGAGACATCAGCCTTTCGGCTAAGATGAAGTGCTGTGTCTAAGAGCAACTACATCCCCTAAGGGTGTGGGAGAAGAGAATCCTTACCATGCACTTGCAAGGGATTGGCTCACTTATCGGAGGGGGTCATTCCCTAATCTCTCTCCTCCAACCCCGTCCAATACAAAAGAAAAATTAAAAAATATATCCGGGCCTGTTGAAGTCATGCAGAAAGTCAGGCACAAAAAAATGAAAGCCTCTTCTCTTTGCAAACTCCTGTTTGTGTTGCCAGCATGACCCAGTACATAACTAGATGGTAATGAGTTTGCGGCTTTTACTGAAGATTATGTTTCCAGTCAGAGAAAATTAGAAGTTTGCTAGCACAGAAGTGAAGACAACAGCTTGTCTCTCTGAATTATGCTCTACCCTGCAGGCCAGCGAACTCGATAGTTGGGCAGTTCTTGAAGTGTTAGGAGGCCTCCCCCCCATGCCAGCTTTTATTTCTGGCTATAACACTGCCAAGGTTTGGGAGGTTACAAAAAAACAAACAGGAATCCAGCTGTCAGTGGCTTCCCAGCCTCTCCCTCTGTCAGCTCTTAATACTTCAAAATGAAAGACAGGCCTGTTGACTTGGAGCCTTCTTGCTGCAGGGACCAAGATGGGATTTGC